ACTAACTAACTACGTGGAGACCAAGTTTACCGGTACGAATATTCTTTCCCTTCCCTTCCTTTCAAGTATAACTCCTTTTTTTTTTTACCCAAGTTCCACATCAGAAAGTGAATAGGCATTGATGTTCGTTTCTTTACTCGTTCGCGTTCGCGTTTGCGCACCAAATCCCATGGCCGGCTGCCTCACTGAATCCACAGCTAGGTATTTGTTTCAGTTTTGTCAATCAGCCATTGGAGGTGCTCATCACAATAGGGTTGATATCCTCAACTTTCACTTTATTGATGCTGCAGCCTACGTAGATGTAAGTCCAAGTATGTTGGGCTGTTGGTCATGTAGACATGAGGGAGAAAAGAACATCGAACATTAAAAGGGAACATATGGAACATTGAAAGTTCAATCATTAATGTTCTCAGCAGATATGTATCAGTACTATATCTAGGCTGTGGATGTCTCAGACCTACAGTGTACCTAGTACTCATAGGCCACTCATAATAAACTTTACTTTAAGCCGGGCAAGGGTTACATGTATCCATGGATGTACTCGAGCTCGATCCTCTCATTGTTCAATGTTTCTTGCCTTGCCGTTAATAAGGTTTGGTTGACAAAGACACCGGCAAAGGGCTTCGTTGCTTGTTCGAGGCATGACTGACTCCATTCCCCTGTGGTGCAACGCCATCACGCAATAGGAAGCTTTTTCCCCTGGCCACTTCTTGGGAATTTTGGGAATTAAATTCATCATCAATGCGCTGGCTTTGAGGTACATTCCTAGGTACCTACCTTTGATAATAGGTTATCGATGCAATGTTCCTAATATTGATGTGATTGTGTCATTTTCGTTCGCGTACCTGAGCAGATCTCCTGCAGCCATTCACATCTGTATTCTTGGGACCTGACTCACAGGAACGCAAAGAAGGAAAAAGGGCCAACCATCCATCCCATCGACACTCGAGTGCTCCAATAAGACTGCACTCCTTTCACACATACTAGGTAGGTATGTACATAAGTAAGTGCCAACATACAACATACTACATACCTAGTACTAGGTAGGTATTGTATTGTAACATATATATACACATGGTACTGAGTACGTATGTACCATGGTATAATAAACATTATGTACATACATACATCCATCCATCCTACATGACGGGATTTAATCTACTTTAGCATTTCACAATTTACATCTGTACTAATCATGAAAAGAGAAATAATTCACCTAAAGGTTCCACATATCGTACAGTACCCAGTCGAATCTTCCTAGTCTAATTCTAGTCCTAGGCCCCGATCGGAATCCTTCTTAAACTGCCTCTTACTTAAATATCCCTACTATAAAGTGGGTTTTTGGTCATAAAAGTCATCAGCCACAACATAAAAACAACACCTTACTCAAAACAGCTAGGAAGCTATTTGCACAAATTCTGTAAGATCCCTGTAACGATTTTAAGAGCCTCTTGGCAGGTATCTTTTAAATTGGGTCAAAAACTAAACTACAACAGGTAAAGCGTCTCCATTTTTCTCAAAAATAAGGCCTTTTTTAAGAGGCGGTTGAAAGGTAGGGTCTTACGTTAAACTCGACCTTACAGAGTGGGTCAAATATGCATTTTCATTTTCAAAAATAAACACTTTTTTGCATATATAAAATCCATTTAAATAGATAAAATTCTTGAAAAAGGGATCAATTATTATTTAATTTTATAGCGTTTTATTGAATATTCTTTCATTGATGTGGCTATTAAATTGAAATTTATCTGAATTTATTTGGATTATTTGAATTCGAATATTACGGACGGTAACCTCAGAGGTTCAATTCTGGCTCCAAAGGTTCAAAGGTTCATCAATTCTGAAAGAAAATCGCAGGGGATGAAAAGATACATTCTGGACCCATATATTCTTTATGCATTCGAATGTACCTCTCCACTTTCTAAGAGGCAGTTTAAGAAAGATTCCGATCGGGGCCCTAGTCTTCAATCCCAGTCCCAGTTTCCCAGTCCAGTCCTAGTCAAGCCAAAGTCCACATTGCTGCCATCGAATATACTGTGGACACGGTACAACGCATCTACATGCACGTCCAATTCAGGTGGAAAACTGCCAACCAACGAAGGAGGGCCAGTTTCTTACTGTACCAGGCCCAGAATTACGATACAATAACGCCAACCTAGATAAAAAAAAAATCTCCCAAGAAAGTTCAGGTAGGTCGGTAGGTCGGTAGGCTGGTAGCGGAGGGTGAGCTACCTAGGTTAGGTTCTAACGAAGGGAAAGTAGGATACTTTTTTGATTTTTTTCCTCTTCTACTGTAGTTACCTCCCTTTCTAACATTGCACTTTGCATTAATTAGCCATTTTACATATTGTCATTGTATCATCTCAAGGCTATATGTATATAGGAGGTATGTATAATGTATGCACTATGTACGAATGTACAATACAAAACACATGCACATACAAATACCAGTGACTTACATATAACTATGTATATGTATCCATGGATATCTTTACACATGCACGTGTATGTATGCATAGGGAGTATGTAGATTAAGGCCTACATGTAAAGTAAATTATGATGCTATGTAATAATATTTGAACCTGGAAGGCAGTAAAGTGTACATACTCGTACTATGGCAAGGGAAGGACATGGAATACATGTATGGATTAGTACTAATTATTATGTATATGTATGTCAAGTAGTTCAATGTTGAGGCATCCATGGCATGGCATGGCATGGCTACATATGTAATTGACTGCACATTGGATGTACCTACAAAATACGTACCATTTTTATTTTATTCGACCTCTAGTGCAGCAGTGCTAGTATACCTAGGTAGGTACATACTATCCAAGGACCAATGTATGGTATTTTATCTTAGGGGACCGCCTATTCTTTTTCCCAAGTCCCAAGTCCCAAGTTCTTTTTTGTGACTCCTTCCCTGTCTTTGCCATGCCTTGATCCCTTCCTTTCCGCTCCGTCACTTAATAATTTCCCGACCCCATTCTCCTCCACCTGAAATAGAGGGCAAGCAGAGCTGTACACCTCATCAAATTCGTGCAAAAGTTGTGGTGTTATCATTATTTATTATTTATCTTTTTGAGCTAGTTACTTTTTTTCTTCTCATCTCCTTCTCGAACATTTAAAAAGGCCCCTGTTCGACCTACCAGTTCTTAAACAAAATACCATACCATATACGTATTCGAGATAGAAATTAAAAAAAGACGGACGGACGAACAGACAGCCCAGTCAGTCAGTTTTGCTGTCAGCCAAAACATTTGAAACTGACAATACAGAACAATACAAGGAGAATCCTTCTTGTTGTTACAATACAACTGACAACAAGTCGACAATAACGAAGTTTTATAATCCATTCACGTCGCACCAAGGAATGAAAACACACTTCTTTCATGGTCGTAACAACTCTCATTGCCAGTCTTTTTCCATTTTACACGCACCTGGCCTATTTTATGTCCTGCTGAGCCTCACTGAACGTCATCACGCCCTCTTTCGCCAATTCAGTTGTACGACGGCACCAAAATTACTAAGAAGCCAGAGGGAGTCATCACCACACCGCAGGAGTATCCACCTTCAACTTGCAAGGAACGAGGAGCAGCACATTTCGTTCTAGACGTGCCAACTAGCCAGCCCAACCCTAGGGAACCAAAAATTCTTTAGGTTGGGCTTATCATACGAGATATAGAAATTTATATATCTCTATCGGTGCCCATCTTCCAAGTCAATCGCAAGACAGAGAAGGGACTCTAACAAGAAGAGAAGAAAAGAAAAAACAAAACGAAAAAGAAATATAAGTTCACTTACAAGGGGTTGCAGCAGAACCAATATTAATCCTCTTTTCTCTTTCTCTTGGGAGGACTGACTATCTATCTCACTTGAAATCTGACACTGGGGGAACATACATACATACCCATCCTTCCCCCCCAACTTAGAGCTACCCAAATCAGCGACTTGCATTACGAACCTGCCACCTCACCCATTTTTACCGTGAGCTGTTGCAACATCAGTCCCCCATAACCCGCCTTATTTAGGTCCTGGTCTACTACCCAGGGCAAGTCGGGACGCATAACATACGCGCAGGAAGGCAGCTGGCTGTCGCCGTACCCTGACGTACCTCTGTCAGAGGGCTGTACCAGTGACAGGCTTGTACTTGATTATACTACCACTGTTACTACCACTCCCTGTCACTACTACTCGGGCGCACCCTTGCGTTCCGGACCGCAATCGACATATACATACATCGTGGGAAGGCCCAGTAGGTATCCTGCAGCCTCGAACCTGGGCTCGGTTTTAATAAAGTAGCCTTCCCCGGTGTATACATTCACTCAAGTTAACCCACGGTATATACGTTGTGGTACACAAATCTACTTACATATATCCACTCCCCAAATTTCTATTCTTATGGGAGTGCCTTTATGAAAGACATATCCGGGAAAATGAGGCCCACAAGTTCAGCCCTCCGCTTATAGACGTTGTCTCATATATCTCTTGTACCACACGTACCATCGAAGATTCGTGCGTGGGCAAAGCGTTGCCCCCTCCGAACTTATATCATGTCTACAACCCCCATCATCAACAATACCACCACAAATACCCAAAATTCTTCCCGTCCTAGTATCGACACCCGGGTTCCTTCATCTAGTACGCCGATCATGGCCGTTCAAGGCTCACTGTTACGGCGACCACGCCCAAGTCTAGTCCAAACCACCCAACAGACTAGCACACAACCCACTTCAATGCCCACCTCAGCCATAAGTGCCTCTACGGCAGCCTCTGGTTCTTCTCAACATGAATCACCTGTCATGTCCCCAGACCATGCAGTGTTGACCAACACGAGCAGCTCCATCCAGGCCTCGCCTGACCCTTACCGTAGCCAAGGGAATGAAGCCGAGCAATTTCCTCCTCCGCCACCCTTCGTCCTCGGCGAATCCCTCCTAACTTATAAGCCTAACAGCAACAGCGTGGCTAACCCTAGCACAACGGTAGCGGCTGGGGGCTCCATGGCAGAAGCCTTAAGTAATAGTCACTCTTCAGGAAAGGGTCTGATTAGACGGCTTTCCAATCGGGCGACCAAGTTTGCCAGCAGGACCCGGCGGCAGTCAGCAGCGACGCCTATGAGTCGGGAGGGAAGTGTAGGTCCCGGTATTCTCCGACGCAGAAGTGATAGCACCAATACGGCTCCCGCAGCGGATACTGTCCTGCTGACGGATTCTGACGATGAATTTCACGATGAGATGAACGAGATGAATTCTATCTCCGGTGCTGAGAGCATGGCACGAGACTTCTCATCAGGTAGCGCTGCACCCTCGCTCGCAGGTTCCGCCTCCATCACGGATATCCCTGCCGGTCCAGTTGTACCCATGGCTTTAGTCAAAGGTACCTACCTGTACAAGATATCAAAGAAGAAGAAGTCCAAGCGGTTGCTCTTCATTCTTGAAGCCGATGCTGGCAAGATCACATGGGAAAAGGGCCGATCAACCAAGTGCATCTACATAGATGATATCAAGGATGTCAGAATAGGTTCTGATATTCGCCAGTATCGTATCGACTACGGTGTTGCCGAGTCGGAAGAAGGTCGTTTCTTTACCATCTTCTACGCCATCCCTGACAAGTCTAGGAGTAAAACCATGCATCTGATTGCCGAAGACGAGGAGACTTTCGCACACTGGGTTAATGCCCTGGACTCGATATCTAAACACCGAGAAGTGCACATGGCCTCGTTAATGGCGTTCAACGATAGCGCTATCCGTGGGTATTGGAACGGCGAGATGACAAAGCAGTTCGAGAAGAAGCATCACTCTCTTGGTGAAGAGGAGATGGATTTCCCTGGTGTTGAACGGGTTTGCAGAAACCTCCACATACACATGGCCCAAAGGGAACTCCACGCAAAGTTCGCCATAGCTGACACTACCAAAACGGGTAGACTAAACTTTCGCGAGTTCCAGGTCTTCGTCCGCGAGATGAAACGGAGGGAAGATATTCGATGTTTATATTTCAAGCTAGCCTCGGATCCAGAGAGGGGAATCACTTTATCGGAATTCATTCGGTTTCTACGAGATGAACAAGCAGAGGATGTTGACAGCAACCTTGGGTTTTGGGAAGCCAAGTTCATTCGGTATGCGCACCGGACTGGTAGGTCGAGAATCGAAACGGCTTCACTTCACCGTCTAGACAGGGACTCTATTACCATGAGCGAGCAAGCACTCGCAGCCTACCTTACCTCGAAAGACAACTTCCCACTCGTACGTGCGCCGCTAGACTATCCACTCGACCGACCCTTCAACGAATATTTCATATCTAGCTCGCATAATACCTACCTAGTCGGCCGTCAGATAGCAGACGTTGCCTCTATCGAAGGCTACATTTCGACTCTAGTCCGAGGTTGTCGTAGTGTCGAAATTGACTGTTGGGACGGCTCCGACGGACAGCCGGTAGTTAAGCACGGCTACGCTATGACGAATGCCATCTCATTCCGAGAAGTCATCAATACTGTCAACAAGTACGCCTTCGTCGCAAGTCGTTTCCCATTGTGGGTCTCCCTCGAGGTTCACTGCAACCCTCCACAGCAAGAGGTCATGGCCGATATTATGAAAGACATCTTCGGCACCCGCCTTGTTACAGAGCCGTTGGACCCATCTTCGACAAAGCTTCCGTCACCGTCAGAATTGAAGGATCGTATCCTAGTCAAGGTAAAGGGAACGCATCAAAGCCACGAACCACAGCGCAACGGCGGTGAGACTACGACGGGCCGTCGACGTGGAAACAGTCTCACATCCCCATTCTCCAAACCGGTACCATCGGACAGCTCACCTATCCCTGCTCAGTTCCTCACTAGTCCATTATTAGGTCCAGCCCCTCAGCCTCGACGCGCTTTGATACCCAAACGCGTAGACACTATCACTGAGGGTGAGGTCCACGACACGGTCAGTAGCAGCACGAGTGAATGCGACAGCGAAGAGGAGAAGCGAGGGAAACGGAAGACGAGCAAGATTGTCCAAAGTTTGGGCGAACTAGGCGTATATTGTAGCGGCGTCAAGTTCCATGGCTTCGAATCGGCAGACTGCAAAAAGAGCAATCATATTTTGTCTTTTATGGAAGGAACATTTAGGAAGCACTCCAAAGCTTCTGACTCGAAATTAGCCTTGACCCGCCACAACATGCGTTATATGATGCGGGTATATCCCCAATACTCCCGTCTCTCGTCAGACAACTTTAACCCTCTGATGTACTGGCGAAGAGGAGTGCAGATGGCTGCGCTCAACTGGCAGACCTTTGACTTGGGTATGCAGTTGAACCAAGCTATGTTCGACGGCGGTATTGACCAGTCCGGATATGTTCTAAAGCCTGCATCGATGCGTGAAATACGGATTTTACCTGATGGGTTACCTGCTGAGGCTATTGGTAAACTCGAGCGCCAGAAAATGTCCTTTAATATCGACATCATCTCCGCGCAGCAACTTATCCGGCCATCAACCTTGGGTTCTAGCCGCACTCTGGACCCGTACGTCGAGATCGAAATCTTCCACACCAACGACAAGCGGGACAAGCACGATAGCATGGCCGGTATCCCTCTTCTTACCGATACTCCCCTCAAGTCGCATACTTCGGTTGTAAAGGAGAACGGCTTCAACCCGGTGTTTAATCACAAAGCCCACTTTCATGTCACCGCTAAGCACCCCGAGTTGGTCTTTGTTAGATTCAGCGTAAAGCTATCTAACGATGGAGAAAACTCCTCGGGCCGCAATGCTACTATTGCAACCTATACAGCCAAACTCAGCAGTCTCAAGCAAGGCTACCGAACCCTACCACTACTTGATTCGAATGGCGATCAATACCTCTTCTCGACTCTATTCTGTCATATCAAGGTGCACCCTACGACTAGTGTTTACCTACCAAAAGCTTCGGAGAGCAACGGTGGCGAAGCCACTGTGGGCAAGTTGAAGCATATTAGTCGAAATGTGTTTAACCGATCATCAGCAAATAGCGCGAAGTCCAGTTTCGACAAGAGTAGCGTCGATGGTGGCTATTCTGATACATCCCAACAACCCCTTGTCTGATTTATTAGGGGGATTTTTGGAACTGGATTCGGTTATGAATTGCATTGTACCAGTACGTCTTTTTGTTTGAGTTAACAGTCGAGCCGCAATGATTTCCCATTTGGTTTGAATCTGCAGCGAATACCCCCCAATCGGATCACAATACTCTCTCAAAAAGGAGACGGCGCAGCACGGCCATTAGCGAATTTTTACGATCTGTTTTTGCATTCTTGAAGGGCGTTCGATACCAATCATACTCTCCAGGTGCTTCCTCTGAGCAAAGTCTCGAGAATGGGAAGCACAAAGAGCCGGCGTGACGAGCATATATCATAGGTGTTGGGGGAAATGTTCAGATAGATCTGGGAAATGACCAAAAAAATGTTCCATATGTTTTCCTCGCAGGGCGGTAGCATTTATGGTTTAGGAGGGCTTGGAGTTTTTTGGTACGGGGTTCATGACGAATTTCTTAGCGATGAGGGCATTATCCAGAGCATATTTCTTGGGGGGGGGGAGACTTTTCATATTTGCATTCGCCTTCACGAGCAGGACTTTAAGGTGCAAGCTGAGGCGCAGGGTCGCGATTTACCAGCAGCACGAGAAGGATCAGTTTAAGGTGAAAGATTGATCTTTCACTAAGCGGAGATTCGCATGCGCTGGGGGTTCTTTGGTGAACGGTTCTTGGTATCTTGATTTTTTGTCAAGTTTTCATATCAACACTCTCCATTTCTCCCCAGCAGGTTCTTCTGTAACTAGCATTGGCATTTCGGCTGGCATCTGCATGAACTCAGATAAACAATACCTGTAGCTCACGCTGCACAATATGTACTGAATCCATAGCGATTCCGCATCATCACCACAGCTGTTGTATTCCATTTTCCATCGTGACTAGATCTGGGCAATGTGTATAATCTCTAGTTGCTTCATACATGACTATACGTGACTATCCTAGGCTAAGCTAACACACTTACCTACCTAGATACCTATATACATAGTGGATGGCCATTAACGAATAACTTAACAACTTCTTGCCTACATAGCTAGGTACCCAAGTATAGGTAGGTAGGCATCCATATTGCTAAACTTGGAACTCTACTAACTATGAACCTCGTGAGCCTTGGTCATATGGATTAGCACCTACCTGGGTATCTTGGTCTTGATACTAGAAATATGCCATAGCCAAAAGTAGTAGGAGTTGGGCTACAATGGGACACACGCATAAGCCGCTAAGATTCGGAATCCGGGAAGAATACGACTCTACGGAGTACATGTACCGTGGTTCTCGATCTTTATTCAGCCTCGATTTGTCATATATCGCTTTTCTGTTCCTCCCTTTTGGTCGAACCCCAGCTTCGGGACCTAGCAAGGAAGGTATGCCGGTCCATGACATGGTCTGACATGTGCCCCAAGGTGTGGTTACGCGACACAGTCTTGCCGATCATAAACCCGGGGATCTCTCAAACATGATCTGATCTGAGCTAACCTCCATGACAGCCCTATCTACCTTGGTACCTATGTAGTAAACTGGTTTGGGTAGGTATGTTACATACATATATACCTAGGTAGGTATCTACCCCTACTCTCTAAGCGAGCCGCGCAAACCGCAGGATGCCATTATACTATTACCTACATTACATTACATGTACGTCCAGTAGTTCATACGACCGTCACCAGACAAGCCAACTGATCCTACTCTAACCGTCTTGCAACGTAAATGCATGTTGCGCGGGCATCGGTTTGCTTGGGCGAATTACGCGTTATTGCCGGGCGAATGCCCTCAATATGGTAAGGGACTGTCAGCCCAGCACTCCAGTTGCTGACGCTCCCTACTAGGTAGCACCTATAATGTATTTACCTACCTACCTAGGTAGGCACCTAGCAGTAGGCAAGGGAGCTAGCTATAGCGCATCTTACTCACCGCCCCTACTACCTACATACCTAGGGACGATACGGGGGATGCAGACTATGGGCGCTGAACATTGTGTATGTGGTGGTGTGCTATATAATTACTATTGTCTGAAACGGAGAAACACGCTGGACTTTACTACTTACTGTATTATACGCAGGCCTGGGCAATGTCTTTCCCCCCTTGCTCAAGTGAGATTATTATTCACCGTAACATGGACACTGCCTAACCTAGGTGCCTAAGCAGGTAAGTGCTTAGGTATGCAGTATGGGGTGGTATGTAAATCATGAAAGGGTGCTGATAATAATAAAAGACATGAAGAAAAAAGATAAGAAAGTAGAAAAGAAAAACCAAAAAACGGCTCTTTCAGTTTTCAGCTTTCAGCCCCGAGGCTTCCCGTCCACTTGGGAAGCAAAGGTCAGGTAGAAGAGAAAGCGACAAGAAAAGGACCGTGCTTGGCTGTAACCCACAGCTCGTTGCTTCTGCTGCTTGCTGCTTCATGCTTGCTACTTGCTGCTTGCTGCTGCTTCATGCAATGCATGCAGGAAGGCAACCTCTCATCACATTCCTTCTTACCCAAACGAGCCTGACTCCCTTGCCCCATTGGGCAGAAGACGGGCTGACGGGACGCTGTTCCCTGAACTGGTCCCAACCCACCACCCACACCCACACCCACACCTTCACCCATACCTACATACACATACATTTGTACACCCCTCCCCTTTTTTTCTTTTTTATCCCCGTGGTGTCCCATCCCACTGGATATTTGTAGTATGTATGTAGTGTAGGGCCGCATGCGATGCGGGCCATGATGACGAGCCGCTTACGAGCCAAAAAAGAAATCCTAGGGTAGGCCAGCCAATGATGTTCCGTCCCAGCCCTGCCCAAATTCTCCTAGCCAACCGTACCATCCTGTCGGGTCCTGCAACCCACGATGTTGATGCGCTCTATTCTCCTCCCCCCCTGACGATGTGGACGCTGACGTGACCTTGTATTTATGATAATCTCTTTTTCCTTTTTGGGGAATGCGCGGGGGTAGGATGGAGAGAACGGTTCATCGACGGCCTTTTTTTTTTTTTTTTTTTTTTTTTCGAGATGCAGGTATCTTAGGTGCTAACCACATGGTGGTGGTGTGACACACCCACACCCATAAATACACTCATACATACATACGCATACAGCTACATACATACATTGCATGAGGTCGAGTATCGCGTGTGTTCGCTTCGGCCATGCAGATTACATCGGTAGGTAGGTAGGTACTGTAGGTACCCTACCTACATACATTAGGTCCCTAGGCAGCCAAGCAGCGCTGGCTAGCTGAGGTCTCCCCTCTAGAATCAAGGAATTCTGCATGGATTTTTATTTTTTTTCGATCAGCCGTAGAAGAAAAAGAAGCAAAAGCAAAACGATGCGGGACTTGACCTTTTGGCAGCGGCATAAGATAGCAAATACGAAAATGGGACCCTGCTTTGTAGTGCATTGCATGTTGTTGGAGATGATATGTTTTAAGCCCGGCAGTCTTCTTTCTATTCCTTGCCTCTTCCCCCCCTAAAAAAAGAAAAACAAAAGCCGACATGCCCTGCTTCGCTTGTCGTCGGTGTTTACATTCTCGGAGCTACGGTATGTATGTAACCTAGATGGGTAGTGGTCTTCCCTTCGCTACCCTCTCCTAAAGCGTACTAGGTATGGGTTGTGTAGGCAGGCAATACACTGCACTCCGCATTCTACCAGCCAGGTAGTTCGTTCGTTTGTTCGTTCGTACGTTCGTTCCTCTCGACCTGCCGGCGCTCAGACTGACGATCATCTTCTAGAAAGGCAAGAGTTACTGTATCTGTGCGTCCATACATACATACATACCTGCCTACATATCCGTGTATGTATGTACAGAACTTTTGCCATGCTTGAAAAGGCCTACTTTCAGGCCTATGTGCTCCATCCAGGCACGGCCCCTTTCGATAAAATGCAAGCCACGTTCACGCCAGGACGCATGCTCTATGGAGTGGCCAGGTACCTACTTACCTAACCGTAAGAGGGCATCATACCCAGGGCTCACTTTACCACTGATACGCAGACAGCCCTGAGGACATTGGCTCAAGCGGCGTCATTTCTTTCGCCGTCCACTGCCGCAAGCGAACCGCGTGCTCCGAATCTTAGGCAATAAAATCCCCACGAAAGCGAACACCCCCGGCATTCATTAGGTTCTCCAGCCTGGGGTAGTTATGGGCTACGGATCACATATCACATAGATAACTAACACATTCACTAAGTACGGGAGGTAAGCGAGCCGAGCCACCTACGCACGACATATTATAAATTCTCCGGCGGCACAGGCGGCACAGCCAAAGGAGCCGGGGGGCCTAACGTTGACGACAAACGAACGACGAAACGACGATCCTGGCTCGCGTGCGTGGATCGGGGGTAGACAATTACCGCTGCCATGGCCTCGGTCTTGGCCGCTGGCTGTGGTCTGGGGTATGTACTAGGGAGGTAGGTAGGTATGTTTGCTCTTTTGTTGCATACCTGCCTATGCACAAATTAATACAATACCTATGATGATAATGGCGATGGTGATGATGACGCCTCCTGGCCTGGCTTCATGGATACGCCGGAAAGAACTCATAATGGTTGATGATGAGCATGAGGTAGAGGAGGAAGTACGAGAAGGAGCGAAACACGCACCCGGCGAGCGCTTACGATGTAACTAACTAGCTAACCACCCAGCCCTTGAGTCCCTACCTACACTAGGTAGGTATTCAAGTGGAGGCAAGTAAGCTGGAATGAACCAGGGGGACACCAAACAGGCATCATCCGGGAATATCCTCAAAGCGTTAACATAAGGCGAGACTAAGGCTGCTGTATGTAAGTCTATGTAGGAAAAGGAGAGCAACGAGAGAGATCTGCGCATAAGACATCTCGGTCCCGTAGAGCATATGCCGACGTTGCTGTTATTGTGGTTTGTGGGTTGTTAGGATCCGAATCATTCTCACGTTATTAACCCGGTTTCAATATTACCAGATTGACGGTTTGCGCGGTACTGATGGGTAATGAGAATTTCCTTCCATGCTCGATACGTATGTCGTAGGTATGTAGGTACCTAAGTAAGAACCTTAGTGAT